TGCAAAATGCAACAAAACAAACAAAAATACGGCTACTATCCACTATTCTCTTAGAAATGCGCTCACTATACTAGTATTATATATACTAGAGCTGATATGGTTTATAGCAAGCAAATACTAGTTGATAAAAACACAGCAACGAGTAATTTCAAGAAATTATCAGTCAGTCACTTTGATATCATCTATTAAGATGGAAGCAAAGACAAAGTCTGCGGGCGGAAACAGCAAATGACCCTTAACACGTTTTTAGCGGGAAATTAGTGGGGGTGGTGTCAAGTTTCAAATCCCATGTGATGGATTTTATCGGTGACAGTGGTTTGAAATGCGCGCCAATCTAGACGGTCAGCTGGGCTCAGGCTAAATTTTGCGCTGGCGCACAAAGTCCCGTACATTGCGACTTCTAGTGTCGTCTTTTTTTGTAGAGTCGCCCTCTACACGACAGTGTGCTCAATGACAGTGTTCGTGGTTGGTGGCGTTTGGGAGTGGGCCAGGGAGCTTTTAATTGCGATGGCGATGCCCCCGCCGTAGTTGGGGTGGTCGTTTCGGTAGAATTTGAAGTTGTTTAATCTGTATTGGGTTTGGGGTTTCAAAAAAGTTTCCTGAAGGAGCGCGATGTCCACATCGTTTTCCCGGGGGTAGCTTTCAAATTCAAACCTTTTGGGATAGAGAGAGTTGGCGTTCCAGGACACGATGTGAACTGCCGCGGGTTTTAAGAGCATGCGAGTGCTTGTAGAGCGGGACAGCTGTTAATCTCAATAATTGCCGCTATAGGGTTGATTTTTGCTTGGATTTCACATTCAGGCATAAGCAGCCGCTGGATGAGCGCCGGGTTGAGGTTGGCGCTTTGGAGGCCCGATAAAGAAGTGGGGGCTTGCTGCTCGTGGGGGGCTTTTTGGGNNNGGGGGGCTGGGGATTTGGGTGAAGATTTTTGCGCCATTTTGGAGGCGAAAAATATGGTATAGTTGACCTTATTTAGGAAACGGGCTTGCTTCTGTTTAATTTGGGTTTGGGCTACGAAATTGGGTTTTTTTGGACAAGCGAAATAGCTTGCCGGGTATGGGCCGTTACAATTGATGCATTTAGCCGGGATGTCGCGAGGCTTTTTGCATTCTAGGTAGAAATGGCCCTAAGCGCACTTGTGGCAGGCGCGTTTTGCTGCACAATTTGACATAGTGTGGCCGAATTTCTGGCATTTTTTGTACTGTGGAAAGTGCCTGGAGTGGTTTTCGTCGGAGTTCCTTTGTGGTTCGATGACCACGGCGAGATTTAGCAGGTATTTAACCTAGAAGATTAGGGTTTCCTCTCTTGGGAGGAGCATTTTGACCATTTTGGTCTGGATTTTTGCGTTTCCAATTTTAAAGAATTGCATTTTTGAGGGGTGGAAGCCTAGTTCCTTCAATTCAGCTTGTATCTCTGGAAGCGACATCGTATTGTGAAGACCTTTGATGATAGCAATGAGCTTCTTGTCCTCAAGAAGGGTGTGAGTATGGAATTCCACGTTTTCACGCGAGAAGAGCTTGGTGATTGCACGGTGATCGTCGGTGGTTTGGGTGTGGATCTGGATGCCAAGAGCGACTTTTTTGGGGTTTGAGAACCCGCAGTTGTGTTGTGCTAGAGGATTGCGGACTTTCGTCCATTCAGCCACATTCCAAGAAATCCGAGGTTGTGAAAAAGATGGCTGACGTGATATCAGACGAAAATTTAGCTCCTAATAAGAACGAGACAAAGGTGGTAAACGGGTCTTATAATTGTAAGAAAAGTGTCGTCGAAGTAGTGAAATGTAAAAAGTGCGTTAATTGCTTCCACCCGTTCTGTTTAGTTCAAAGCAGAAAAACCTTGAATGTATTCATGAAGCCGACAAGGTTAGAAAAAAGAAAAATACGAATGTCAACAAGGAAGAAGACGATATGGAAATAGAGCTTCTGAGAATGCTAGTGAAAGAACTTCAGAGTAAGAATCAGATTTTAGAAGAAAACAGCTAGTTATTAAAAGAAAAAGTAATTTTTCTAGAAGAAAAAATGAAAAGTAGCAAAAATAAAGAATTCGCCTATACCGCGCCGTCTAGTGGTGGGCTGAGCAGCAAGAGTACCAGCAAAGTAATTGTCAAACCCGCGCCGCCTAAGGTGCACATCGAGAATCGATTATCCAATCTCGATGTCAGGCGCAATACAAATGTTGACGAAAATTCAGGGGAATGAAAAACCTGAAATACTGCAGCTCTTTCCGACTAGCAGTGCCACTGGAGGATGTACATAAATATTTGACATCTAGCATATGGCCAAGAGGATCAGTAATAAACCATTTTCGGAATCTACAGAATCAAAGCATGGTGACAGCAATCCATCACAGAAAAACATAAGAATCCTCAACATTAATGTACGTTCATTGAGGAGGAAGACTGAAAAAATATCTGTATTTTATTATTAGTATGTATACCTACTTTGTGACTTGTTGACCTGTGTAAACATTTTTTATATATGAACATGATAATGAATGATTATGATTATGAATATGATTATTCCGAATGCCGATGGGAATGGCTGCTTTGCGGGCTGGTGTTTCTGAATTTAGCGATTGAGAGCTGTGGGCCGAAGAGTCGACCACGACTAATTGCCTAACGTCGTTGCCCGCTCTTTACCGCGTGGAGGTAGACCGCCTAAAGATTCCGTGGAGGTCAGTGGGGACTTTGATGCTTCGTGTGTTAAATGAGTCTGAAGCTCTTGCCCCAGCGGCGCCTGAAAGCTAAGTTGCGACCGCTTGTTGAGAACCAAAGTCAAATTTGCCAGTTCTAAAGGAATATATAGAAGGGCGAAAGATTTATTCGCTTTGAAGAGCGTCCAGGGTGGCTTGGTTCTTGGGCGGCTTGGGTTTTAATGCGGTCGTCCTGCTTGATGTTTCGAAGCCGCATGGCTTTAATTTCTGCTTTTAGTGTCTTTAGGTCGGGATCTCTGGTGGAAAATTTTGGGGATTGGGATTTTGTCTTACCCATTTTTCTTAAGGTACCACTAGCGCTGTTGGAAATAACCGATAAACGATCGCGGCTTTTGTCGCTAGAGGAATCGCCCATTATAAGTATCGATGAAACGTAGGAGGAAGCGCTGAACTTTCAAGTAGGCAATGCCAACGATGAACTCCCGCGAACTTATCCTGGAACTGCACTGGTGACTGAGCAGGGGCTTTTCGGAGCCCTTGGGGACCTGAACGTACCCCTGAAGGAGGCACGAGCTCGACTTTCTTTTTTGGAACCTTGTGTAACCACGTGGTTCCGGTGGGTTGGCAAACACGAAGCAGCTAAGCTTCAACACTGAGGTTGGGACGCGAGAATGACTCACTTTTGTTCCAAACAAATAAAAAACACACAGTTTAGGAGTGTTGTTCATCGGTCGAGAGACTGTGAGCAACGAACCGTCAGCCCCAAAATATTTCCAATATGGCAGTATGAGGTGGTTCATATTTTGAACCCTTATGCAGCTACCACATAAAAAGATTGGTTTTCACAAATTAACAAAAAACTTTTATTGAAATCAGTAAGTATTTACTAAGAGAAATTAAGATTAACTACTTAATCATCCTTTTTAATTGTTATTGCCGTGATATTTTTGGAAACAGTCTTTGCTTTTCCCAAGGCACAGCGCAACTTTATAAATATTACATGCCCAATCAGATCGCATTGGATTTGCCTTGGTGCTGCAGTTTGAACATTTACGACGAGTAGAACGAACAGGTTGGTGTGATGAGGAAGTAAATCTAACTTCTACAGGCACTTTTAGTTTTTTCTTTAGCAATGGCTCTTCATAGTTTTATTTTTTGGATATAACTTCTACAAGTCTTTCAGCTAGCAAGCCATCCACTACTTTTCGTGTGAAGTCCTTCAAAGTTATTGGTGGTAGCTTTTTCAGCTTATATAGTATGTAACTATTTACCACAGCACAGTCCACAAAATGCCACATAATCCTCAAATATCACTTTTTACTCTTCCTGTCAATCTCATACGTAGATTT